ACAATAAAAGCTGCAGAGAAACTTCTCTATTTCTGTCTGGCCATGAACTCGGACATCTTTAAATAAGTGTCGTCCAGTTTGGACTGGAGAGGAGTGTAGATTCTAAAGCCAAATGCTTCCCTCCAAAATTTGAGTGATTCGAGGGGCACAAATTCCTCCTGGTAAATAAAATTCCGGAGCTGGTAGGCTAGTTCACCTGTAGCTGGTAGTGTGCAACAGATATTAGCATGAAAATATGCAACAAATGCGCCAGAAGACGATAGCCAGTAGGCATACATAGACTTTCCCCAGAGAATTTATCAACTCTTGCAAAGCAAACACTTGATTCTTATTTCTTATCCATTAAAGTCAAAACAGTTAAGTGAGCTTATGTCACCCAAATATGGTAAGTGAAACAACACATTCATCAATTCTATCAAGGTCTCCAAATATGCAATCTTACATCTCTTGAAGGTTAATGTGACATGCACTGAAGTGTAATAACTATTCTCTAACATGCTACAAATTTTACATCCTGAATCAAAATTAAAATTGGCAAAATTCTATTCAGATGAGGAGTTGACATGCTTTTTGACGAAAAGCTTGGTCATGTCTTCAGTTACAATGTTGCTCCTGTAAAATATATATTAGAAGATGATTAGAAGTCTTCACCAAAAGGAATAAAAAATAGATAGTACGTCTAGGTCCAGAGCAGCAAAAGAACATAAATTTGGTATCAGCAGAAAATAATGGTTTCAATAAGTCAACAGTTCTGTTCTTCTTAGTCTTGTATCTCCTGCCATACACACGCTTCGATCGTCCACCGAAGCAAAAGATAATTTCAGATTCATACAAAAAGGTGAATTTAATTAATGTCAATGCAATATCAGTGCCTATCATTCATTGGTTCTTCAGTGAAAACTAGTTCATGTTCCTCAGTAACATAGTTTTTCACAGAATTATCACTAATGAACCGAACCAAACATCCTATGACATTTCTTGAATTAACTAACTATTTATAAACATGCAAGAATACACAAATATTGCAGCAAAAATTGTCTCTAAAAGAAAAACAGAGTTAATAGCATCTAAACATTTTCAAAAAATGAAAAGCTTGTACAATTCAGAGCACTTAGGAAGCTTTCTTCTTGGGAGTCCAGATGGCAAGTGTAGCTTTTGGAGATGACGGAATGTACTAATGTCACACATTCACAAAGTTCCACGAATGAAGTTACATCAGCCTTAGCGACTTGCTATTCCAAAATGCTAAATAAAGGCTAAATTTGGAACATTTTGACAAAAGGCACAGCATTGGTCGGAGAAAAAGAAGTAAACTTCCAAAGCAAGAAAAATTCACCTTCCGGCAAGTTGAGGTGGCAGCAAATGACCACCTACTGTATCTGGAACTCTTCTCGAACTGGGCAGGTTCCCTCTTGGTACTTTATTTCGAGTATGATTAGATGACGATGAACCATTTAAGTCTCTCTTTCTAGACTCACTTTCCGCCATTGCAGCTGCAACTCTGGAAGAATGATCGCTATGATTGCCCATGTGAGATGGCAAAGCAGGTGAATTTAAGAGAAGAGAAGCATCAGGGAGTACAAGCAGCGGAGTCTCCAACCGTTCTGGAACTTCTTCCCCTCTCTGATTTACACTTGACCCTGATCTCCTACACATTGAAAACAAAACTTTCACTCAAAAACAGCCACTACACAACTTGGAGTCTGATCTTTTTAACATCATTATAACATGTCAAACACCATATTCTAAGTTTCCCCAAACGAAAAGTACAAGATTCAGCCTAAATGACAGAGGAAGGGTTATTGCATATCCCCTAATACCTCTTTAAAGTTTTGTAACAATTGCCCTACAGGCACCAGTTAATACACCTCATCTACACCTAATTTACCATTTAAATTCACACACTCCCATTCATTGCCGTCTTGCATTGTGATCCATTCCCAAATTAAGTTCACTTTTCCAAAAACTAACACCTGAACCCCTCTTAACCAGTGCCTATTTGGCACCCATCAAACAACCCCTAATTTCCTTCCCTGTCAATAATCTCTCCGCTAAAACCAGAAGCTGGGAGTATCGTAGTTTCTAATACAATGTGAAACTCAGCATTTCATCCCAACTGTTATTCTCGGCCAGATCTTGCCAAACAGGCCCTAAAAACTAGCAGCTAATTTTAAAGTTAAAAAAACCCTAGACCTAAAAATCAAATGAATTAATTATCAAGAAAGAAATTTTCTGGATTGAAAATTGAAACATATTCAAAAATAAACCACTGGAAAAAGGCCCATTAAGAAAAAGAAGGAAATAGAAACCCTAAGCTGAGGAAAAAAGGAAATTGAGAACAAGAAAAAAAAAAACTTACCTGTTGTTGTGATCTTCAGTAGAACTTGGAGCTGGAATTTGACTAACTGTAGCCTCAGGACGGCGTCGTTTTACATCGTCTGCAACAACTGTATCTGTTTCTCGAGGTTGTTCAGAAGCAGAAACTTTGGGTTCTTGTTCTTCTGCTTCAGCTTCTTCTTCTTCATCTGATGAGGATGCGTAGTCCACCAGCGACATGGCTGATAATCCCTCACTCTCCCTGTCTCCTTCGTCTCTGTTCCTCTCTCCCTTCTTTTACGGTGTGCCTTCGGAGCATCCTTCCTTTCCTGCGACCCGTTTGGCATAGCAGCGAATTTTTCATTTCTTTTTGGGATAATATCAGAAACCTCCCTGAGGTTTCTTTTAATAGCACTTAGCATCTCTAAGGTTTACAAAATATCACTTACCTCTCTTGATAATTGCAAGATAACTTGGATAATAAATTATTTGAGATAATTTTATGAAAAATATGTAACCTTTTTTTGATGTGATATATATGAGATAAAAAGATAATTAAAAAATATATTAATGATGTAAACAAGTCAATATGTTAAATAAGATGTGAATAATGTGCATTCCAAACACATTCTATATTAATCCTCACTTCATACATAACACACACATCAAATAATGGAATTAAAAAAATTAGAGAAAAAAAGTCACTTTCTTCTCTTCCTTTTCTCCGACTTTCTATCTTTTCTATTGTTTGGATGATTATGTGATTTTTTTTTGTAAATTACCATATAGTGAATTTTGTTTATCTTTTTCTGAGATTATATTAGAGTACGGTACACTTTCTTTGGTTATTTTAATTTGATTTTTATAATAATTTAGTACAACTTAAACGTTTTGGTCATGGGTTGAGAAGAGATTGGAAAAAAAATTAGAGTTCATAAAAAAATTATTTTGAGCATATAAAGTTGAATTGGTGCTAATGTATTTCTTTACACGTATCTTTTTTGTTTTTCAAATTTATATTTTTAAGAGTTATAGCTTTGTGATATGGTGATAGTATTTAAGATCGTTTTTTAGGCGGTAATTTTTAATAGAGTAAACAAAGTGGCTTAAAAGTATTTTTGTTTAACAAAAGAAGCAAAAGGGTAGTTTAGGGTTTTTAAAGATTAAAAATACAAAAACAAAAATAAGAGAGGTAAGTAATATTTTAAAACTCGGGTGCATGAAGTGATATTAAGAGAAAGTTCAGGGGAAGTTTATGATATTATCGCTTTCCTTTTTGCACTGCTTTTTTTTAATTCTTTTTTTAATTAATTAGGAAAGAAAGCTATTCATTTACCTTGGAAAATTTTCATTTCTTTAATTATTTTTTTATTTTATTTAAAGATATAACACATCTTCGAATTTTGAAATTGTTTTTTTTTTTTCTTTTTTTAGGTTATATTTTCAAAATGCAGCCTCAATCTAACAAGCATCTGGTTGCAAAATCCAAACAAGAATTTTTTTTTTTTTTTTGTGCAATTCTCTGTAGCCAGTTTGGGGGGCACTCAATTCATAGACCATGACTAATTTTTATTTTTCGTGATAGAGTAAACATTCATTCACTATTATAATCATCTACCTTTTGAATATAAGAGAAAGAGAATTTATTTAATTAACAATTGGCAGTACTAGAATCCTCCACTAAGTTGAATCACCGAAAAAAATGAAAAAAGAAAAAAGAAAGAAAAAGATCGCTAGCATATTCATGAAAGGTTTTGTTCTCGATGAGCACTCGACAACAAATTCAAATCAAGCCTGTCTTATACCATATTAATAAGCACAATCACAGTTGTTGCACTTTCTACATTTAGACTTTTTTCAAATTAACTACATTTTTCTAAATAATTAACTACGTTTAGTCAAACCGTTTTATTAATCATAATTTTTTTATTTGATTAATTGTACTGAACCAATTTAATTTTGATTATCATAATTTTTTTTTTTTTGAGATCTCTTACTTGTAATTTGTCATTGTTTATCTAAGGTTAACTCAAGTCTATGAATCTATTGCAATTGGTCCAACAACCTCGGAATGGTTATGCAAATTTTCATATATGGCTTTTAATGTTTCACACATAATTTTGAATTCCGCTCATTGAGATATAAGCATGAATGAATACTAAAAACACACACTGAGGAGCAGCAGAAGGCAGGAATTTTAGGTATGCTGGGTGGAATGAAGGAGTCAAGCAGAGTAAGTATCGTGGGCTACCAATGGTGATTGGTAGGACAAAAAAAAGGCTTTTAGCTACATCAAAGAGAGAGTTATCAAAAGGCTAAGTAACTGGAAGGAGGAGTTATTGAGTAATGCAGGTAAGGAGGTACTGTTAAAATCAGTGGTACTAGCTTTTCCTACTTATGCTATGAGCTGTTGCAGGTTGCCAAAAGGCTTGTGTGTGGACTTATGCAGAGAAATGGCTAAATTCTGGTGGGGGATAGTGAGGGTAATAAAAAAATTCATTGGATGGTTGGAAGGAACTCTCAGAGGTTAAAGGCAGATGGGGTTTGGGATTTAGAGATCTACAGGAATTTAATGATGCTATACTAGCTAAGCTAAGCAGCTCTGGAGGATTTTAACCAATCCAAACCTGTTAGTTAGTAAAATTCTGAGAGGGATGTACTTTAGGGGAGTTTCAATTTGGAGGATGGAGGCTAAGGCTGGGGATTCAGTGGTATGGAGGAGCCTATTAAGTTCTAAGGAGCTGTTACAGAGAGGGATTAGGAAGACTGTTGGTGATGGACGAACTATAAATATTTGGGAGGATAATTGGATTCCTGATATGGAGAATGGAAGAATTAGGACCAGGAAACCTCAACACTGCCAACTAAAATCTGTCCATGAGCTGATGAAGGATGGTAGATGGAATGAGGACCTGATGAGCACCTACTTTGAGGAGGAGGACTGCAGCAAGATTAAGAAAATTCCTATTAGTGAACGAGGAGACAAGGATAGACTAGTGTGGGTGTTTTCAAGTGCTGGCCAGTATACTGTCAAGAATGGCTATGCGGTGGCAAAAGACATGCAGAAAGGAAAGAGAGGCCTAATCATCAAAGGGGCAGCACCAATAGAAATATGGAGGAATCTGGTGCTTGGAAATTTTTGTGGAGTTTAAAGGTAAAACATAAATTGAAGCACTTTATTTGGAAGTGTCTACATAGAGTTTTACCAGTGAATGAGGCAGTGAAGTGTAGAATGAGGAGGGGAAATGACACACGTCTATGTTGTGGTGACATGACAGAGCGTTGGAACACATGTTGTTTTTTTGCCAGCATGCAGAGCTAATATGGAAGGCGGCTCCCATCTGTTGGGATGGTCTCAATGTTTATAGGATTAATTTTTGGCATTGGTGGAATAGTTTGGTGGAAGCTAAGGAAAGAAAGGAGGGCAGGAACCATATTGAACTGACGATTAATACACTGTGGCAAATTTGGAAATCAAGAAATCTAATTCAGTTCAGCAATGACAGAAAATGTCCTGGCTTTGTTGTTGGTAAAGCTGTGCAGGAATGGCAAGAGTATGCTGAGGTAGTTAATGAGGGGATGGGCCGAAAAAGGACGGTAAGGGAGAAGCTTATGGAGAAGGAAAGTGGTCACCTCCACCACAGCATTTTATCTGTCTAAACACTGATGCAGCATTGAGACAGAAGGATGGAAAGATAGGTTGGGGAGTGGTAGCCAGATGTAGCAGTGGTAAGATGGTAGGAGCCTGGGCAGGGAGTGAACAGAGATTTGGGGATCCTGCTGTGGAGGAAGCTAGAGCTATCAGGAAGGCTATGACCATAGCCATGAAGAATGGTTGGAAGGACATAGTTATACAATCAGATTGTAAGATTGTGATTGAGAAGATCAAGTTGGGAAGGTTGGAGGATCCTCGGACCAGTGTGTGTTATTTGACATACTACAACTCTACAACTGGGGAAAGAGTTTCGGAACTGCTCTTTCTCCTGTATCAGAAGGGATGGCAATGTAGTGTCCCATTTTTGGCAAGATTTGCCTTAAACTTAGCTGCTGATATAGCCTGGAGAATTTCCTTTCCTAGCTGGCTGCTTCAGTTAGCCCAGCAATGATGCAGG